TTCTAAATTTTCCTTGCACTTCCATAGTTTCTTCCTACACCCCATAATTAACTTAAATCTTATTTTACCCTTACACATTTCAAGGATTGAGCATATAGTTCCACGAAAAAAAATTCAAAAATATGTTTCGAAGTTTTTTTCAAAATCATGTTACGGAAAATTAATTTCAAAAATATATTCTAGAACCTACTTTCTGGAATATGTTTCTGGAAAAATTTTCCTAAATTCATTCCCGGATTGGCTTTTCTAGAAACGTATTCTGGAACATCCAATCCGAGATGCATTTCCATATTGACTTTTTTGGAAATACATTCTGGAATCCATTTTTGGATGGTTTTTTCGGAAATACATTCTAGATTTAGTGTTCCAAAATTCAATCTAATTTTCATAATACTGTTTCAAATTGAGCAATATTGATCTCAATGTGTAATTTCAGTACAAAAACATTAATAATATTAATGATTTCTCACTTTAAGTATTGGAAACGATCTTGAATAGAGGTGATAGTACAATAAACCAAATCTACAAATCTATGAAGGTGAAGAAGATGAGCAATAGAGGTGTAGAACTTTTGAAGGAAAATAGAAGAAGGAATTAGAGTTTGAAACAAAAGTTATTGAAAAGGTATTTTAGTTATTTTATATGGGGTATGGAGGTGCAAGAAGAAACTATGGAGGTGCAAGAAGAAAGTCCCATAATTTTTACCTAACCTAACTTATTTCTTGAGTCTTTCGGGTGAATTCATCATATTAAGCCTTTACATTATACTATTTTATTCTTTCCAAATAAAATAATTTAATAGCAATACAAATTGGTAATGGCGTAACCTATGTTTAACTCTTTTATAAAAAAATATGATAAAGTTATATAAACTCATAAATATTCCCGTTATAGAAAAAAAAAAGTTTTGTATTATATTCCTTAGCTCTTTCATTAGAACATTCAATGATTTTTTTTGCTTAGATTTATATTTATTAATCACTTCTGACCTACAATTTCAAATCAAACTTTGAAAGAATGTAAGTTAATGAAAAAGAAAAACTTAGGTTGTACTCTACCAAAGTTTGTAAGATATTTTTGTTAGAAAGTGTTATAAATATTTAATTATAATTTATTATAATTTAAAAATTAAAATATTTATTAAATATACATTTTAAAATATAGTGTATAGATTTTTTATCTAAGGTAGATTTGATATTGTAGGAACACTCATCAATTATCCATGTGGAAGCTTTAGCAGTGAGACTCTGCTCGTCAAGAAGACTTTTGACACAAAGATCCATAATATGATCTTTCACCTATTCTAATCATACTCAAATGAGTCCGTAAAATCTTTCACCTACTCAATCATACTTAACTGAACATGTTGTCCAACTCAGTGAGATTCTCTTGCCTAAAAGGCTCATACTCAACTGAGCTCGTCTTTCAACTCAAACGAGACTCTCTTACTTGAAAGACATAATATTGTTAAGTATTTTTTTAAGGGGCTAATAACAATGAGATTCTCACAAATGAAACACGAGTCAATCATATAAAAGAATATGAGACCACTCTCAACCAAAATCCTTAAAAAAAATATTAGGTTATGGATTTTTCTCACTTATAAATTACTCTAAATTCTTATTTTTACATAATATGAAACTTTAAACTCACACTTTTTCAACCATGTTTAATTAGTATTTAAGTGATTTAGGTATAGTTATGGGAACTTCTCTATATATTTTAATCACTCTATTTATAATCTCTTCTTTGCTGAAACTTTTTTATCCTATGAATTATTTGTTATATGCATTATGTGGTTTAATTAATATTTTTCTAACTTTTGTTTGCTATTATTTATTTAATCTTTATACAAAATAGATTTAAAAAACTTCAGTATAGACTTTAAAATCACCCAACTTTTTTTTAAAATGAAAGAATTATAAACATACAAGTTGTACTTTTGTTCTGAAAAATTTAAATAGAGTAACGAAAGTTAAATGAAATAAATTAGTAATAAATTATTAAATTTTGTATGAATTTAGTAAACAATGTATTTGATATTGTATTTTACGTATTAATTATTGTTTTCACAATAGATTGTAAAATACAATTTTCTTTAAAAAAAATCATAATTATCATCATATTTACTCCTATGATAATAATTTTAATAATAACTATAGCTACGTATTTAATTTAAAGAAGATAATTATAATACTAATCATTATTATATATTAAGCTATAATTTTTTTTACCGTTTAATGACGATTATAAAAAACTCGTGGTTATATTGTGTATTATATGCGATAGTATATTATTTTAAAAGAAAGTAAAACATTACAAACATTACTAAATAATAAATAAACGTATGAGACTTTTTTACTAAAATAATATTATTATATTATATATAATATCTGATGAAATTATTTATTTAACTGAACATCTTTTAGTGTTGTACTTGGAATTTGGCTTCTAGTAAACCGAATTCCAACTTTAAACTTACCACTTTTTTTAAATAAAAATTAAATAAAATATATAATTAAAAATAATAAAATTCATATTAAAAATAAAATTATAATTTTAAAATTTAAATAATATTTATATAAAAAATAATAAAAATAATATATTATTTAAATATATATTAAATTATTTAAATATATTTAAATAATTATTAAAAATATTAAATAATAAATTTTTATTATATTTTTTTATATATATTTTTTTTGAATAGGAAATTTAAAATTTATATATTTTTTTATTATATGAATTATTTAAGTTATAATTTTAGAAAAAAATTGATAAATTTAATATATAAAATATTAAAAATAAAATTAAAAATAAGTTATTAGTAGCAAAATAAAAATTATAGAACATGATATTAAAGAAAAATAATAAAGGTAGAAAGATTTTTATAGAGTGAAAATAATAGAGGTTTATGAAGAAGAAAACCCTCCACAAATTTCTCCTGAAATTCAAGAACAACCACACCAACGAAATTCAAAACGTAATAGACGTCGTCCTCCTTGTGGAACCTGGACACCACTTTTGAGATTAAAATTTTCTTAACATTATTGTCAATAATTTTATTTTTTTAATTTTTATTATCAATGATTATGTTATTTTTAATATTATACATTAAATTCTGTCAATTTTTATTATTTTTTATTTTTAAGTTTATTTTATATTAATAATAATAATTTTTAACTAATTAAATAATATTTTTACTTTATTATTTAAAAAAATTAATTTTAGCATGAATTTTTTAATATAATATTTATAATTTATCAAATAAAAATTATTACATAAATTTTTATAATATAATATTTAATTTGTTAATATATTACCTAAATTAAATTTTTATTTATTCTATTTTTTTCTAAAATTATAACTTAAATAATTCATATAATAAAAAAAATATAAATTTTAAATTTCTTATTCAAAAAGAAAAAATATATATATAAAAATATAATAAAAAATTATTATTTAATATTTTTAATAATTATTTAAATATATTTAAATAATTTAATATATATTTAAATAATATATTATTTTTATTATTTTTATATAAATATTATTTAAATTTTAAAATTAAAACTTTATTTTTAATATTAATTTTATTATTTTAATTATATATTTTATTTAATTTTTTATTTAAAAAGAATTGTAAGTTTAAAGTTGGAATTCGATTTACTAGAAACCTAATTCCAAGTAAAATAATAAAAGAGGTTCAGTTAAGTAAATATTTTTATGAGAAGTTCAATTAAGTAAATAATTTTATGAAAGGTTCAATTAAGTAAATAAATATATATAATATAATAATATTATTTTAGTAAAAAAATCACCATATGCACGACCCTCTATTTGTGTTATTTTTTTTATGTTGGATAAATTCGATTAATTTAATTTGTATTGTTAAAATTCTATTATTATTATTATTATTATAATAAGATTATAATTTTTTTTATATAAGAAAGAGAAGTTATATATATATATATATATATATATATATATATATATATATATATATATATATATATATATATAAGGAGAAAAAAAAGATAAACACGTTTGATTTATTATAAAGAATAACCAACATCAGAAATAAAACCACATGTTTGTGTGTATATTTTTATTATATTTTTTATTTTAATTTATTGAAATTTAATGTATATACTAATTTTAAAATATAAATATTTTTTAAAATTATGAATTATTATAAATAAATAATTAAACTTGAAACAAATTTTAAAAGAGAGGAGTTGAAAAAAAAAACAATATGATTGAGGAAATAAATAAAAGAAAAAAAATATCTATTTATATTATTATATCTCTTTTATTTTTGTTTTTTTAATTATGTTTTCTCTTTTTTTTCTTCATATATAAAACAATAAATTATTATTTATAAAACTTTTATTAAATTATTTTAGATAATAAATAATATTAATCTTATTAACGGTTTTCTTATTTATTACTAAATAATCAAAAATATTTTAATTTATATATTGATATTAAAAATAAACATAATAAAAAAAATAATTATTATAATACTTTGTTGTCACATTATTAAAAATAAAACCATAAGAAATTGTCTACATAAAAAAGAATGTTATAAATTATTTAATTTTTAAAAATATTTTTAATAAATAAAATAATATTACAAAAACCATAAAAACCATAAATATTAATTTATAAAACTAATATTAAATCTATAAATAATTCATATAATACAATATTTTATATTTTGATTTCATTACTACAAAATTTTAATATTTTAATATAAAATATCATAATTGTGATTTTAAATAATGACGAAGGTTACGTCATTAAAATCAATTACATCATATATTTTGTAATTTTATTTTACGTGTGTTATGTTATTGTTTAAGATTAGATCCCAATAATATAAATCAAAATAATTAAATTTTAAATCATAATAATCAAAATAAAAAAAAATACGTATAATTTAGAAAGTGAACCATAAGTTCTAGGTTTTCATTACCATTCTGTTCTCCCTTCGAATCATGGAATCGAATAACCGCCAATCCGATCGCCGCCGCCAATCCGATAGCCGCTCATCGAGCGGTCGCTCATCGAGCGGTCGCTCATCGAATAGTGGCTCATGGATTAGCCGTCTCTACCATAGTTTCGGGACGATGTCATCAAATCTCGGCCACGGAGACCCTGTTACTGTACAATCGTTCAATAACCTCAAGAACGGGACGCAAGTTTTCAACCGTGCCAACATTCAGAGCCCTGAAATTAAAAACTCTTTCAACAACCTCGGGTCAGGCTTCCAAAATCTCGCTGGCATAGTGATAAAGCTTCCCGCCCACAATACTCATAACTACAGATCATAGAATTTCGGTTATTTTCCCTTTTACTTGTGGAGGTCATGACAGGTATTCACTAGTCTAAGAGTGAAGTCTGAATCTTGTTATTATCATGATTAAATCGCCTTTATCTTTATCTGAAAGCTGTTCATCTCATGTACATAACACGTTTAAGTTCTAAATTTAAGAATTGTTTAGATAATAATTGCATACTTCACTGGATGTGATATACTGATATACAATGCAATTGATCTATGGCTTGTGTGAAATTATAATGAAGTTTTCAGTAAAGAGTTGGAATCACTTCCTCATCTTACTCAGTTTAAACATGTTGACATTTCTTTTAAGATTTGCAATGCAATTGACCGTTTGTCTTTTTAGTTTTGTGTGAATTATACTGAAGTTTTCAACAATTCCCTTTTCTTTTGCACTATCTGCTTGAAGTAGTTATAATTATTTCTCGAGTTAGAACCACTTTCTCATTTTGTTATAGAATTTAATAGGAATTTTAAATGATGATATTAGAGATGGACAAGGATGCTGTGAAACCAGTTTTGAATGAGTAAAGTATGGCAGTTTTGGCATCTGTGCCTTGTGTTGATTCTTATGGGAAATTCCCACCTCTCTCCAAGCTAGAAAGAATCCCAGTCAGTTTCTAGTCTCAATAGATGAGGTGTGCATTTTGTTAGGATTTCCTCACCTAAACTACTTACAAAAATTCCTTTTTTTTTTTATTTCCTTACTTAAACTATTGTTAGGTACTCTAGGTAGGAAAATTCTTAAATAATATGCTTTCTAACTTTCCATTCTTAAATAATTCAAAACATATATTACAGAGTCTAAAACATATATTTTGCCGAATTATTTATACACATTGTATAACCAAATCCAACATGTTCTTCTACAAATCCTATTCCTGCGGACTTAATGACAGGTGAATCATATGGTTGATCTGCGATTATATTAAGTGATGTATCTCTCTCTTCCCTACCTTATATCACAATCTCACTCTCCTTTCTCTTTCTTTGTTGCTTGGTTCATGCAGATCAATGAAAAAACAGGGTAAAGCTAGCCCCGGAGGCAATAATACTACTACCTAGGGATCTTCCCATTTTTGTTTGTTTGTTTGTTTGTTTTATGCTACTTTTTAAGGAGATATGCTTGTGGGGAGTTCGTAGTTATTAAGTACTACAAATTGTATATGATATAGCCTGCAAGCTTAGACCATGCTTCATATCCTCATTCAACTATCAATTTACTTTACCATGCATTTTGTATACAACTTTATTATATACATGCAGACAATATTGTCATATATGGACAATTTTTTTTTATATAAATATTTTAAAAAAATACTTTTTATATACTAAAATTAATTTGTACATAAAAATATTTAATAATACTGTTTTTGAAAATAAATTTTACAAATTATTCTATAAATAAACTAATTTTAAATTATATATCTTGTTCCTTCAAGTATTTATCAAGAATATCTTATTTACTTATATTACTTCAGTCTGTTTTATCATCGTAAAGTATTATATTCTTTTTCATGAATTATTTCCGATTATTTTCTCAAGTTTTTTAATCTGTTCAAAGTAAATTAATTAATAAACTCAACACTTAAAAAACAGAACATTTAAAAGTCAGAATACAAGACTAATGATACAATAAAATCTAAATATCAATTTACACACCAACCACTCTAAATTATAATACCTCCATCAATTCACATTTGAATATCTATTACACACAAAAAAAGTAAAAAGAGATTATTAAAAGAATATGAAATTATACATAAAATATCCACAACTAATATTTTCAAATGAATTATCAAGTTAAATTATTTAATGAAAGTATCAATAAAATTTTGAGAAAAAAATCTAATAAGAAAGTTTAGAGATGTTCTTTCGATTAATAATTTATACAACAAATTTAAATATATTTCCTTTTAAGATTTTTTTTTAATTATCACCTTCTAGTTGAAATAAAACATGAAACTTATTGGGATGTTAAAGATCATAGATTATTATAACGACAACAATTAAAAGAATTAAAATTTGAAACATTTGAAAATTTAAAACAATTAAAAGAATTAAAAATATTGGAGAAAATAATTTATTGTTAAAAAAAATATATTTTACAATTTTATATTAAAATTAATTTATGATAAGTTGAGATCCCAAATGAATTAGTTTATATATTATTACAATAGTTTTTTCATGTAAAATGTTGAAATTATGATGAAATCCACACGTAATTTTTTTTTAAAATTATCTTGAAGATAATGCAAAATTCGAATATGAACGTCATTTCTTCTTTATTCTCTCGATCTTTTTAAGGATTGAGAAGAGCCGGTTAGATTAAGTGCGCTAGTATAAACTAAATTGTTTCTATTATACATCCAACACTTATGAAGCGTGAAAACTACAAGTTCACAACTATCATTATGTAATGAGATTAAATCACATTATCATATTTTAATTTGAATTAGAAAGAAAGAAAAGTAATTAAATTGAGTATTGATTTTGAAATAAAAAAATTAAGGAAAAATAAATAATTAAAATAAAAATACAATACAATTGAAATAAAATTCTTGGGATTGGATTTTGCACAAAGACTTCTTATTAATTTAATTTCTTTAAGTTAATACACTTTTGATTCTCTTTAAAGGTTAATTAACATTAAATGATATATGATAAGAAATAAAAATGTATATGATTGAATTAACTCCTACTTTCATGGTAGTTATGTTTAATTAAACTTGCTCTTTGCTAATTTAGTGATTTGATTCCTTGATTGATTAAACCTATTATAATGATTTAATAAGTAAGTCATATCTCAAACTGTTAAGTTCATAATAAAAATTTATTTTTCAGAAAGATGAGTAGAAGAAAAGAGGTATTATTCTCCTCCTCAAATTTCTCATTTAAGAATGAATATAATATCTAAAATTGGAGGAAACATACTAATTAAATTAAAGACAGTTTTTTATCCAAATTACAATTAAAATATAAATATAAGAAAGTGTAGAAAAAACAATAATGTTTTTAGATGTAATAAGCATAACATTTTTGCCATGAGTGATAATTACGGATGACAATTAAACCGTATCCGTGGGACTGATTCGTCCAGTCCCGAGTTTGACTGAGAAAAATCGAGTTGACCAGGGATAAGGGAGGGTTCGAGTTTTGCTCGCTTTAAAAGGCGGGGCGAGGGCGGGAGATGGGTAATGCAATCTCTACCCCGGCCCATCCTCGTCCCGATTTTATATTTAAATTTAAATTTTAAAATATTAATATTTTTAAAAGTATTTTTTTTATTACATATGAGATTATTTTTTTTATATTTCACCATTTTTACTTTTCTTCTACCCACTTTTTATTTCTTTTGTCTTTTTTAATCTTTTATATCAATTAGTTTATTACATTATTTTCTTTCTCTTACCTTTCCATTTTTTATATTTTCTTAATCTCTCCAATCAATTTCCTTTTTTTTTCAATCTTTTCAACCAATTTAATGAACACAAAGTTAATTTTATTTTCTTATTCTTTATCTTTTTATAAATATTTTACATAAATCTTCCTAGTAACTAATATTATTTTATTTATAATTTATATTTATTAGGTTTTATTGTATCATATTTTTTGGATCTTATTATTCTTATTTGTCATATATCAAATTTATCTTAATAAAATAATTATATTTTAAAAGATTTAAAATAATTGATAATTTAAATTTTTATTACTTTGAACTAATTAAATAAAAATTAACTTATTAAATATTTCCTTATAAACTGTATATTTCATATTTTTAAATAACAATTTAAAAATGAAATAACTTATATATATAATCAAATGTTTGAATACAATATAATAATAATAATAATAATAATAATAATAATATTCTATATATGTATAAATAAAAATGATTAAATATTTCTTTTACCTACATATTTTAATATAAATATAATAAATTAAAATATATATTTAATTAATAATAATTACAAATTATAAAGTTATAAATATTTATGTATAAAAATAATAAAATTAATTTATTATAAATATAATTATTTTTTTAAAAATAATATAGATCAGGAATGGAGCAAGACGGGAACCCAAAATTCAATAGGAATGGAAATGAGAACTTAATTTCTAACCTTACAGAAATTAGGGACAGTTAAAAAAATCAGAGACGGGATCAGAGAGGCAAAACTCGCTACAGCTCTGCCTGTTGTCATGCCTACTGATAATCACCCCTCTAAATATCATTGTGTTGACAATTTTTCTTATCGAAAGAAGCCTACATAGGAGGTGACAAGCATCCCTTCAATGTATAATTAAAAAAGCACAAACTTCCTGCTAGATTCTTTCAGAAAGGAAAATGATAGAAGTGACAGTAAAATGCAAAAAAGACCCTTTCTTTCTTGGAAGGAAGGAAACAGTTTCATAGTTACAATTAACCTTGTAGCTGCCACTAGTATGGAATGGATGTTATACATGGTCTAATCTATGCATCAATCAATGATAGAATTCAACATCATTTTGTGATTCAACAAAAGAAGCCTTGTAAAGAAAATACTTATCTAGGTATGAAACATTTTGCATTGTACATTACTTTCCAAGAATCCTAAAATGTTACAATTGAGTTTCACCCCTTTGATCGTATCTATCCCCTAAAAAGTGAATTTAATTGAAAATAAGCGAAGGAGTTACTTACTGATAATGAGTATGTAGGAGAGATGGCTTGAAAGATAACTTCAGTTTTAGTTTTGGTGTATCAACATTCAGATTTGTTAAAAATTGACACAAACTTCTAGAATTATGTAGAAAACATATGTGTATGCTAGTTACTAGTAAAAACTACAACATGATTCTAGAAAAAGAAAAGAAGAAGAAGAAAAAGAAAAAAAAAAGTGTAGAAATAGAATAGTGTAAAAAAAATTAAGTTAGTAGAAAATTATAGAATCTTGTAAGTAAAGCCTATAAATAGGCATGAAGGGAGTCTTTGTATGAGTGGTGGAAAAC